TAAAATTATCACCGATTAACATTACATTTTTTTTTTTGGAAATATTAGGAAATTAAAAACAAAACAAAACAAAAGAAACTAGGCACAAAGTCTAGACCAGTGAACACCTATAGTGTCACCATACAATCTATCTAGACAACCTGAAGGTGGAGTATCAAATTCCTGAACTGCCTAAGAGAAACCGTAAGAGTAAGAGGCTAGGAAGTCTGCTACTCTATTTCCTTCACGGTGAATGTGAGACATATAAATCTGCCATTTTCGCTGCCTCAAATTTCGAATACGATTCACCAAATTAGCCGAAGGATAATCATGGCGGCACCCATTTGTAATAAGTTGTTGGGCTAAAAGAGAATCTCTTTCAAGCCAAACTTGCCTAAAACCTTTTTCCCAAGCTAGCTCCAAACCAACCAACCAAGCCCATAATTCAACATGCAAAACGGTACCTGAGCCTAAATTTTTACAGAACCCGATAATCCAAGTTCCTTAAGCATCTCGAAGAACTCCTCCACACCCAGTCCTAGTACCATTAGCATCACTTGCACCATCAACATTAAGCTTAACCCAATCCACATGGGGACAAGACCAAGCAACCATTCTCTCTGTTCGATTCCTTGGCTGATTGCCTGCTCCAAAAATGGTGTTAGCTGCAAGAACGACACTATCTCTGAAGCCAATGGCTGAACAAACAATCGAATAAGCATTCTAGTAATTACCTTAAAAAATCCAAGAATTCCTGCACTTGTAAATATTCCAGGCTAAAATTCCAAATAAGAGAGGCCAATCCGGCCCCATCCCCCAATCCTTTGAACTATCTAAATTAGAAATGATCCAGTTATGCAGGTTGAGGTTGAAAAATTCACCCTGATTGCTAGAGGCATTACCAAGCACCATATTTCCTTTGATTGTGGACAATCTCGAATGGTATGGAGGATAGTTTCACTAGAATGATTACATCTAGGACACAGATCTGATAGTGCCATATGACGGTGGAATCTACGAACATTAGTCATCAGCTTCTCCCCTGCCATTAACCAAAGAAAAAAGCAAATTCTTTCTGGCCCCTGCCAACTCCAAACGCGATCCCAAGAAAATGACTGGATTGTACTATCATTAATGGCTAATATTGCATATGCTGACTTTACAGTAAACTCTCCATTTGTCGTTCCATTCCAAATTAAATGATCCTAGCCATCTTGACTAGAGGGAGAAAGAAAATTCATAAACTGATGAATGATAAAATCCGGAAGCAATTGTTGAAGAGAATTCCATTTCCATTGTCCCAATTCATCCACATAGTCCACCACCTTCTGGAGAGTATCACCAACAGAAAACTGAGAACCTGCATATGAGATTAAAAGACCACTATCAGGAAGCCAGCTATCAAGCCAGAACATAGTGGACTGACCATTGCCTAACAATACCCGAATATGATCCATTATAGTATCCCAATGACGCGTAATTCTCTTCCAAAGCTAGGAGCTACTGTTTGGAGCGTGGATAATTGGCGTCATGCCTGCCTCTACATTATACTTAGCACGTAAGATCTTTGACCACAAGGCATCTGGGTGAGCTAAAAGATTGAACCCAACCTTCATAATAAATGATGAGTTCATCTCCCTCATACTTCGCAGACCAAGGCCTCCATGTTTTTTTATCCATGCAGTTCCAGGCCACAAGATGAGATCGTCTAGAATGTGGAGATGAACCCCAAACAAAATTTCGAATCTTCCTATCGATCTCTTCACAGGTGACTTGAGGTACTGAGCAAACCTCCATTGGGTATGATGGGATTGCTGACAAAACTGCTTTAGATAAGGTAACACGACCTGCTAGAGATAGACTGGCATGATTCCAAGCAGAAATTATGGAATGCATTCGATCTAAAACATAAGAGAATGATGAACGACCCACTCGCTTATGGTGCAAAGGAATTCCCAAGTATCTTCCAAGATTCGCAGTTAGAGAAAAACCAAGATGCCCACTAAGTTGGGTTGCTTGAGTATGACCCACATTCTGAGAAAAGAAAACTCTAGTCTTACTGTGATTGATTTTTTAACCAGATGAATCACAAAAAATATGTAAGACTTGTTGAATTATTAACACTTGCTCTTGAGAAGCTTCTGCAAACAAAAGGAGATCGTCAGCAAAAATAAGTGGGAAATTGGCGGAGCTCCCCTTTTAATCCTCACTGGCTTCCACCTCATTTGATCCACTACCTGAGAGATAAGATGGGCTAGTCTTTCCATGCAGAGGACGAAATGATAAGGAGAAAATGGATCTCCTTGTCTCAAGCCTCGAGTTGGCTGGAATTCTTTAGTACAAGCCCCATTCCAAAGAACATTCATAGTGCAAGATGAAACACACCACATAATTAGCCTTATCAAAATTTCAGGAATCCCTACATTATATTGGGTATCCTGAAGGAAATTCCAATTGATCCTATCGTATGCTTTCTCAAGATCAACCTTGATCGCCATCCAACCTTTCGATCCTCTTTTTTCTCATTGAATGGATCAGCTCTTGAGCAATTATGACATTATTCGTGCCTTGTCTCCCTCTGATAAAATTGCACTGATTTGGCATTACCAGCTTGTCCATCTGCAATTTTAAATGGTTAGCAACAATTTTTGTTGTCGTTTTATAAATAACATTACACAAGCTAATCGGGCGAAAATCCTTGAAAGAGTGAGGGTTCTCAATTTTAGGAATCAAGCAAAGAAGAGTCTGATTCACTTCTTCTATACGACTAGGATCATTAAAGACTCCCTTTATGAAATCACAAACAAAGCTCCCCACTACATCCCATTGGCTTTGAAAAAAGATGCTATGAAGATCATCAACACCAGGCGCTTTAAAAGGCCCCATTGAGAACACTACTCCTTTAATCTCTTCACTATTAGGGCAACTCTCAAGAGCCTTCAAAACTATCCTTTCTATTTCTGGGAATCTGTTCCTAATGGGAAAATTAGGCCGGAGAGGAATATCTTCCTTATACAAATTATTATAGTACTCCACTGCCATACTTATGAGAAGTGATGAGTCACCAATCCAATCCCCCACATCATTTTGAAGGACATCAATCTTATTCCTCCTGCGCCTGGCAACTATTGCAAAATGGAAGAATTTAGTATTTCGGTCACCAAACCTAATCCAGTCAGTTCTAGATCGTTGGTACCATGTAATCTCTTCTCTAAGATAAATTGTATTCAACTGATGCCAGATCTCCTTCTGCAGCCTCTCTAGAGAATGACAAGGATGTTGACTCAAGCTATAATCAATTCCACGGAGGCGAGAATGAAGATTATTTTTTAATTTCTCTTACTCCTTGAAACAATCCTTATGCCAGGATGTGGCTTTCTCTCTAAAGTCTTCATTAGCTGCTTTCCAATTGTGTTCACCTGCCCAACACCTCTTCACTAGATTAGAGAAAGAATTATGAGTCAACCAAGCCGCTAGAAAACGGAAAGGAAGAACCCCTCCATTACTGAAATTTGGTTGTCCATCCCAAAGAAGGATTGTACGATGATCAGAGTTATAATAGGGAAGATAAGAGATAACTCTATTCGGAAATGACATGTTCCAGCTTTCATTTACACAAGCACAATCAAGTCTCTCCAAAAGATTACCTCTTCTCCAAGTAAAACTCGGACCTTGATGCCCCAAATCACTAAGACGACAAGATATAAGACAATCTTGGAAATCCTGCATGCTCCTCCAATTGTGAACTGAACTCCCCCTCTTCTCCTCCGAGTGAATGTATGTATTAAAATCTCCCATAATGCACCATTCATTATTGTTTGGAGGCTGAATATTCTCCAAAGCATCCCAGAGAGCATGACGCTCTTGACGCCGAGGACTAGCATAAACATAGGTGAAAAATTCCTACTTATGATAATTAAGCCAGCTTATCTTTGAATGAATAAGCTGATGATTAGTACGCAGAACTTGGATATTCACTTTTGATTGAATATTCAAGTTCTGCGTACTGATCATCAGTTTATTCATTCAAAGATAATGACACATTGATAACAATTAATGACAACCAATCTTAACTTATAAATATATCAATGCCTATTCCTATAACACCATTTTATGCCAAAGTCAATATGTCTAACATCATATAACGATATACATAAGGATATCCACTATTATTATCATTATTATTATTATTATTACTATTACTTTTCATGGTTTATTACACAATCTCTTAAACTTAAGTAGAAAAGTTATTGTAAAACCACCGCAGAATCCACCTGGGAGAAGGAGAAGAAGGGTCAATTTACTGGACATCAAGTTTCTTTAGACTGTTTGCCTCAGTAAGCTTAGGCCAGTCATGAACCAACCTCCACTCCCCAAGGTTGTTTGCACACTCCGCTCGACCTTCATGAACCCCTCAACTCACCCCACTCTTTCTCTTGATCCCTCATTTGTGCTCTTAGCTTACTCCTAGAAGAACATCTGTAATGATAAGAACATCTCATACCTTCATCTGATGAATAACTATTTGTAGAAGAAGAAGAGTTGGTATCAGAAGAATACAGATAACAAGGCCAATCGGCCAGTGTCACCCTTGTTAGACCAAGGTTCTTGGCAACCTCCCTCCATATACCATGGCGTGTAAACTAAGCATCTTCTGTTGAAAAATCGATAATCACACACAAATCGTAAATCGAAAAAGAAAGAGAGAATACAGATAACTAGGCCAATCGGCAATGTCACCTTTGTTAGACCAAGGTCCTTGGCAACCTCCCTCCATATGCCATGGCGTGTCAACTAAGCATCTTACTACAAAAAAATGTGTTATTTGTGGAGATTATTTATTGGAGGTCATTAAAACCACCAAAAAAGAATACAAATTGTGGCACTTTTAATGAACGCCACATCATAATTTTATTTTAGTAAAATTTTGTAATTTGTGGGAGGTAATGACTGCCATAATATTTTTGTAACTGTATTAAAAAAACTCGTTTGGTTTGACCGCTACAACTTCGTTGATCGAATTGTGCCTTCTTTGTTCAGACTACTCACTTTTCTACACCAAAACCAAACATCTCTTTTTCTCAGCTCCCTCTGAATCCTTTTAACTCCAATTTTCGTGCCTCACTCCTTCAGCTTCACCTTTTCTCTCTCTCTCTCTCTAACCTTAAGAACCCATCGTTCTCTCGTTCTCACGTTCGTGGCGCAGACTTCGGTTCGAGCTCAGCAAGAAGAAGACAACACCGTCACCGTCGAAGACGAAGAAGGAGAAGGTTTCAATGAAACCGAAGCGGGTCTTTTGGAATGGGAACCCAGCGGCAAATATGCTGAGAGCGGCAAAGAAGTAGAAGATGATTTTGTTTGGTATTAGGTTTTGCATTTGAATTTTCATATAAAACTGCTTAAGCTGGAGAAATATATTTCTAATTGTGTTTTGTGTATTGATTATGGACATCGTGTTTGATTAAATGTGAAAATGGAAAATTATTTGATGTTTTTACATATTATGGGATGAGCTTAAGCTGTTTGATAAAATGTCTAAGTCTAATTTTATTTTTCTAATTTAGTGGCTCGTGTATTAAATTCATCAATGAGTTACTATGTTTCATCCTTTTGTAGTTTTAAATTTTTAATCTCATACCATTAAATTGTATTCTTTTTAACCTGTTTTTTCCCTCGATATTACGAAGAACAAGTGTCCAAAACTTATTTCATTAATGATAATTTCGTAAATGCAAAGAACACTGCAGAGGAAGTGATAGGAAGTGATAATTTTGTAAATAGTTTGATAGGAAGTGAAACTGGAGCAGTGCCACCTTCATCCTACACTCCACCTCATTCCTGGACTGATCAGCCTTCAATGTAATGTATCCCAGCCCACCGCATCAAACTATGATTTTGATTTTTCTAACTCAGCAATTTTTAGTTGGATGGTTTCCTTTTTAACTTGCACTGGTTGATTTAGTGAACCAAGGAATGATACTGCAAATGAAACTAGTGGCTACAATGTTGCAGAAGAAGTACGCCCTCCCTTACCAGTCATAAGGGAAACTCTTTATGATGATGCAATGCTCTATGGTTAGGTTTTCCTTTTCCTTATTCCTTGGCTTGCCTTGGAAATCTAAGGATTATGTTATAGTAGAGATGCATATTCAGTGTTTTCAATATTATTGAACATATATGTTCATGCTTTTCATTAGTTCTCAACCCTAATATCACTTCAGTTCAACTTCAATGGCCCATCCTTGTAGAATTAAGTATAGTGCTTTTAGATGTAATTCATTAGTTCACTACTTTTCGGATTACTTTATCACTATGCATATCCTGTGCTTTTTATCATTCTTTGATTACATGTTCATATAGTAAGTGATTCTAGTCCGTTTGTGTGTGAGAGCCTTTGTGAACTGTGAAATGATGAACAACAGAGAGTAAGGTGAAAGAAAAGTGAATTTGTTGTAGCTAGATAGACAGTCTTGTGATCCATATATAACTGGAAAAATTCAACTCTGTTCGAGTGGTGTGTACTTTTGATGATGACCCATTAAGAGGCATAATGTTTGCAGATTGGGAAGTTGCAAGATATTAAAATATCATAAATGAAAAATAGGAAACTTACATTGCAAACGGGCAGTAATTGACATGCAAGTAGGGTATTCCTCTTTTATTCTGGTTCGTCTAGCTGTTTCCTTGTATTTGTTTTTCTGGGCACTTAATCAAGATAAGACTGTAAGCAAGTATTATATTTGTTTTTGCAGTATTACCATTCAGCTCTTTCATCAGTATGTTAATGTGCTTGTCCATGCCGGCTACAATGGCATCAACATGAAGTTTTCTGTTTGACTAATATGACTGCATAGAAAAAGCTTTAGCAGGCATAGCAGTTTCGTCATTAGATGCCTAATGCAGTATGAGGAGATCTAATTATATTACTCTATGATTTATGGTGTAATAGAAAATGGGGTTTAGGGATTGTAATAGGGGGTTTAGGGATTAATAATCAATAATTTCAGAATTTAAGGTTTCGTTGATTGGGTCTTGGGAAATATTATCCCTAGCCAGATTATGGATATATTTTCTATTATTAACTACGATTACTTGAGTATTAAGTTTGTGTTGCTTGTCTTAATCAGATTTAGGGTCCTTTGAGTTTCCTATATAAGACATATTATCTTATGGATGGTAGCTCATCATTGATTATTTAATATCAAATATGGAATTTTAAGCGTTTTTAAGATTATTCCTTGATTCGTTATTCCCAATCTGCATCATAACCTAAATATATTTCCAATGGATGTACACAACCCAATATTTGATATCTTTTAAACTGTACTCTTTTTCTTTTCTTTTTTCCTAAAACAAAAAAAAGGTGTAAATTATCTCAAACGGGTATTGCATATTTTTCTTGGTTTTTCTAATTTGATTTTTCTATTATCTCTCATTATGCCTCTTGCTATACCAATTCAACTGTGTTTGCAGATTTGTACTCATAATGATGACCCATAGTAAGTTATTGCATATTCCCAATTCAACTCTGTTTGCAGATTTGTACTCTTTTTCTTTTCTTTTTTCCTAAAACAAAAAAAGGTGTAAATTATCTCAAACTGTAAATTAATACCAATTTTTCTAATTTGATTTTTCTATTATCTCTCCGGGTGCCAAGCAAGGATTAATCCCTCTTTGCTATACCACTGTCAAAAAATAGCTCAGGTATGATGGGTTTGAGATTAATACTATTGATAAATCTTAAAGTTTAGTATTGTATTTTTATGTTAATGTTTTCTTCATAGGTACTGTAACTGCACTGTTAAGGTGGCTCACGGCTCCACCTGAGTAAGGCTCAATTTTTTGTGCTTTCAAGTGGTTAATTTATTGTTGTTTTGATCATCTTATAATTATAAACACCTGCAGGATGGAAATGCCTGTGGTGGAAGTCAGAGAACATGGAGTGTGGCTTCTAGCTAAGAGTGTAAGTTGAGTATGCTTGGTCTTTTGACTGCATTGCTGTGTTTGTTGCTAATACATTGTGATGTTGATTAATGGACACTTTTAAGATGTAGCTACTTTTATCATCTTTATCTAAGGTTGTGAGGATTGATGTGAAGATCGACTGTTGCTCTGTTTTTTCTTAGCTACTTAAATGATGTCAGGGAAACAAAACCTCGTCTATTATCTGTGAGGAGCCTTGTGTGTATCTACTTCATTCAGGAAAGATTGTTTTACCTCTAAAATAGTTTCTTGATTGCATCCTTACTCTTTCTTATGCAAGCAAGGTTGTATTGCGGTTGTTTATTTTATTATTTGTAAATGTTGCATATGCCAAGTCATCATATTATTTCTAAAATATCTTTTGAGAAAAGCTCATGTAGCTTTCTCATTTCTTCTGTCTAAGTTAGAATATTAAGTTATCTTAATGAATTGTTAGGCAAAGAGGATCGAAAATGGCGTATATCTTGGATGTTTTTTATTAAGTTAGATTTATAATTTTACAGGTATCTTTGAGCGGTTTCGTGAAATTCTTAATAAAGGAGAAATTGACAAACGAGTTCAGTTTCTGATTGAAGGCTTATTTGCAATTGGAAAAGCGAAGTTTCAAGTACTTATTATTATTTTTTTGGGACAATAATATAGCTCATTAATGCGATAACACAACATGTCAACGCTTTTGTTTAATGAATAGTTTGAAATTGAAATGCTTTATGATGGTTGCATTGCATTACATTACAGGGCTGGCTGTTCGTCCTGAGCTGGACCTTGTGGAGCAGGAAGATCAGTTAACTCATGAATTTGGTCATCAGTTATATTCTCTTTGGCGGAAACATAATGTGTCAATCACTACTTTACTGTAATGTTGTCACTAAGTACCTTTTCATGTCAGCAGCTAAAGAAAACTCATCAAAGCCCCAGATCTTTTTTGCATCATTACAGTAAAAAGATATGTACAAAGCTAGATTGTCCCTATATGGACGTCTTAAACTGCCTATTTATCAAGTTTTTTTTCTTTTTGAATGACTTAGTAATGTTGTATTCTTGTAGTGTACAGATTCTTTAGTGTATAGATAAATGGATAAATTTATCTATACATCATTTATTTTTAAATGATTTAAATGATAAGGTAATTCATTTTTGAGTGGATTTTATGCAACATGCACGTGAGAAATTTATGTCATTCTCTAAATGTTAAGAGATCAAAAATATATATAATAAATTGGCTAACAAATAAAGTGATGAGACCCAATTACAAAATTTTGATATATAAACCTTTCAAATTTGGATAACTAGTATTTAGTGGGGGGGTTAAACCTGCAAAAATAATAAATAAATTGTAGCAGTCTATGCCTTCCAGAAAATGATGAGGGTATATGCAAGAAAAAAGCCAAACATTGTGGAGGTTATAAATCTCCAGAAATGATACAATATTTGTGAGGGTCTTAAACCTCCAGAAAGTGCAATATTTGTGGGGGTCTCAAACTTCCAGAAAATACTTCAACAAATTGTGGCCTTGCACAAAAAACCCCCACAAACTATGTTGTGGCGATGGAAGAACTGGGGTCGGAGTGAATGCCACAAATGTCTTTTGTGGGGGTCAAAGACCTCCACAATATGAAAATATGACATCCACTAAATGCCTGAATTTTTGTAGTGTCTTATGTTGGAAATCAACAATCACACACAAATCACAAATGAAAAAAAGAAAGAGAGAGAATAGACACAATGAGTTATCTTGGTTCATCTAATTTAGGCTGCGTTCAGCTTGTCTGTACTATATTCATCTCACCGTCACTCGTTACAAGTCACTCGATTTACAATGAGAATATAAATAGGATTAGAAAACCATAATAACAGCTATTCATGGTCCTAAGCCCAAACTACTGAAAAAAGAAAAATTACAATAAATTAGAGGCTCGCAACAGTACCTAGCTTCTACAGGCCAGGGGCAGCCCCGCCGCTCACTTAGGAGCGGGACCCCAGTTGCCTTTCTGCTGACCCCGACAACAAAGGCCCTCATCAGCATGCAAAGTATGAGTCATACCCAACATCTTCAGGGTGGTATAATCCCCTTTAATTGTCGGTTGACTGATCTGTCATATATCGATGATAAGATGTAGGCTTTAGGCGGATGTATCCTACTATTGGACTAGGAACAAAAAATATGGGCCTTACAAAGGAACCCCTAGTTTACTCCAATATTTATAGCCAATTTGGTCCCCTGAATAATAATAGGTTTACTCTTCCAGAGCCTTCAAACACTTTTTTACTACCAGTTATTGTATTAATATTGGCTTCCTCCATTATCAAATAAAAGCAATATGTTTACCTCTTAGTATAGTATTAGTAGTACCATTATCTACGAGACATATATCATCTTCAATCTTCATTGATCTTGGATTCAATTAATTATTTGAAGATATCCATGTTCTTCATTAAAATAAAATAAAATATATCAAGAGATACACATACAATTAAAAAGAAAGAAAAATTACATTTGAAAGGAAATAAGCTAATTGAAGAAGATAAATTCAATCAGCGTCTCGTTCATGGCCACTACCACGGTTATAATTTATTTATTTTTAACTTATCTTGAGTTAATGCATTCGCTTTAAGGAATAGATCACTAGATCTAGTGAGACAGGCTTCATGATTTTTTTTTATTAAAAGTTCATTATATTTCTCAAACACAAGGAGACATACGATCAATTCAAAATATTTTTTAAAGTCCATTTCACTATATTGTTGTTGTAACAACACATTTGAAGCATGAAAAGTGGAAAATATTTTTTTGTTGCAAGTCATCATTGGTAATATTTTTTTTTCATATAATTTCAATTGAGAACTAATTTTAAAAATTGCAGAGTTATACTCACTTATATTTTTAAAATCTTGCAACCTGAATTGTATCCATTCACAGCGAGCTTTAGGTATGATAACCATCAAAACTTTCTTTTAAATTATCTCATAGTTCAAGTGGATATTTCATCGTTAAATATTCAACTTTCAACCCTTCGTAGAGATGATGAAGAAGGAAAATCATGGCCTTCACCTTATCTTGATTGGATTTTTTTTCTTTTATGATTATAATACATGATTTTATGGCTCGTTTGGTCGACAAGATATGATAAGGATGGATAGGATAAGAAAATTAGATATGATATGGACATGATAAACTTATATTCTATCTTGTGTTTGATATATTCTGGATAGACAGTTTGATAGAATTATATTATCCTATCATGTGTTTGAAGTCAACCAAATAGTGCTAGGATATGATATAAATAGATGAAAATATCATTCATAGCATAATTTTATATACTTTTAAATTATTTTATTTTAACTTATTTATACATTAACTTATATTTTAATTATTCAAAAATTTTAAAACTCTTTTTTTAAAAAAGTAGATTATAATATATGAAAATCAACCTCATGAGATAAATTAAAATCAAAATTTGTTCATATAAACAAGACCTATAAACTTGGCCAAGTTTTGATTTTGATATAGAAGAGATCCCAAATAAGTTTTCAACACCACATTATTTTAAGAGAACACGCTAATTGAATTATAAATGTCATGGAGACATTTTAAGAGAACATAGAGACATTTTGGTCCTACAGAATTGAATTGTAAGAGAAATGGAGATATATCCAAAATCAAATCATGATCCAACTCACAAATAAATAAAATAATCTTAATAGGTTTAAGTAACTATTCAAAACTCAGCCTTAAAAGTTAAGATGAGCCGTGACAAGTGACAACTACACATTCTGGCAAACACGCTAATACATCTTTTGCTTTATTTTCTAAACTATCTTTGCTTTTTGAGTCTTCCTCGTGAGTTGTCCCCTGTTAGTTGATTCTTCGTGAATAACAATGCACCAAAAGTGTTGAGTTCTATAACCACAAGTAATCACAATATAATAAGTTCTCACACATATGAAACCATAATTAAGAAATACAACAATTAAAAGAAGTTTGGACAAATCATCATGAAATCATTCAACAGTAAGTTATATTTAGGTTTGCTAGGTCTGTAGTTATAAAAAACATACAGGAGTGGCATAACAAGAGCTAAATGCCGAAGCTAAAAGAAAAGGAAAATTTTCAATAAGGATTTATAATGTTTTAGAACCCCTCCAATGTGCAATGAAGATATAGCAAGGAATTCGTTCCTAGGATCCATTGCAAAGTATAGGAAAACTATGACACGTGCAAAAGGGAAGTGATGAAGAGAAAACTTACTTTGAAGTACTTAGTCCAGTACTTAATGGTATGTGATATCAAGATGAAAATAAAGAGAGGAACAACACAAGAAGTTAACAAAGAAGTTGATTAATGACTTAGTTTGCTTTAGATGTATACATCCAAATCATGCGTGTTTTGAAAGCAATTCTGAATGAAATATCAATACCAACAATAAAAGACAAGAACAAATATAAATCACCCACGACACAAAGACATCAACATTTATATTATTTATTTTTATTTGAGGCATGACGCCATGCAATACACTGCCAGCAACAGAAACCAACATCAAGGATGCAATTCTGATGGATATTAATTAACAAAAGTACAACATAATGTATAGAATGCTTCAAGGCTGACATAGGGCAACCTAATATTAAACAACTCCTGCCATCCACAAAATAAATACATCTTTGTCTAAGGTTCTAATTCTGGAATTTTACTAGCCCGTTCAAGAAGCCAACAATTCCTTCATTAATTATCACCAAAAATAAATTATGGACCTCACCCAAGGTTGGCACCTGGCTAGGCATACAAACTCAAATTGTGCTACTTATATCAAACTTAAATATCAAACTAATGTTGGCGTTGGTTTTCCTTCTTCTTTTAACTTCTGTATCAACCCAATGGTGGCAGAGGTTGCACGGTGAGGAGGCTAACTTGTGACAATGGAGATATGAGCATCGGGGGCTGCGTTGGAATAAAAGATTTTTTTTTTTTTTTTTCATATCCTATCTAGTCAAATGCTAACCCAAGTTTTTCCTCAAAATTACTTATCAAGCTTTTATTAGGATAACATAAGCCAACTTGACAAGTTTATGCTATCTATTGGGCTCAACAAACAACAGATAAGAATATAAGATATCCTATCCTGCTTATCTGGTGCTCCAAATAGGCCTTTAGAGTCGAGGTGGATTTTAGGATTAAGAACCGATGATAGGTAATATGTATACCGGTCATATGTTCTTAATTTTACATAAGACTTGATTTTGTAATGTCAATCAATTCAAAATGACATTTAGTGCCTCATATGTATAACGCAAGATTTTTTTAATACAACATTTAATATAATAATATTTAAAATAATTCTAAAACAATATTTTTTTTATTTAATTGTGATTTGATAATACTTTAATATATCAATTTTTTTTTTTTAGTACATTGCCAGGAGGTATCCCATTCAACCTTCTAAAGCTAGCTCAAAGGGTGGGAGTGCCCAAGGCCTTATAAAGACTACATTAGTTGCACATACAACCAATGTGGGACTATATATCTCAACACGCCCCCTCACACGAGAGCCCATTGGGCTTGAAGAGTGGATGATGCAACAGGCCCAGCCTACCTGTGCTAAGAAATTCCACAAGAGAAAGTGGGGAGCGGCGAGGCTCTGATACCATGTAAAGAACCTTGTGATACACCACCCAAAAGCTAGCTCAAAGGGTGGGAGTGCCCAAGGCCTTATAAAGACTACATTAGTTGCACATACAACCAATGTGGGACTATATATCTCAACAAAATGTAATGTTTATGGACATAAATACTGAAGCAGTTTTAATAAAATGACATTTTACAACGGTTTTTTAGGGGAAATTTTGAAATATTATTATTTAAATAAGAAATTACGAAAACGTAACAGTTTAGAATCAAATTACGGATTTATAGTAACCAGTTACGTACAAAATGAAGCGCAACTGGTCCCCTGAAAGAGGACGTGATAAGGGTTGGGTTTCACATCATTTTGGGTGCAACTCACCTAGTGATGACACGTGGTACAAAATTTTCAATAATTTTACTGTAAAATTTTGAAAGGCTGTAATTTTTAACTCGGATATTTAAATTAAGTGATTTTTTTTTATTCCACGTAATTTTTTTAAATCTACGTGCTAACAAATACCAGAGGAGATTTGGCAAAAAGAAATTCTCAAAAAATACTTTCTTATGTCCCGTTTTGCACATTTTGTGAAAAAGAATATGTGAAACGCATAAGAAAACTATTTACAGAAAAGTATTACGTGAAAAAGAACTTAGACTTGGGTTTAACAGAAAGTAATTTTAGATTTGATATCGAGATTTATGTTTTATTGAAAAAATGTGTCATGCCTCATCATTTTTTTTCTTAATTACCAATTAAATGAGTGACAAAATAATATCACATGGTTTCATACAACAGATACAAAACTTCTTTCGTGTCTATTTTTTGTAAAATAAAAAGTAAAAAACTAACTTTCAACCAAAAAAAATAAAAAAACTAACTGTTCCATGCATGTGGGAACACAGAAGGAAAATATAAACAATAACAGCATGCGCAGTCATACATGGGTGATAGCTTTTGGCATGGGCGTGGGAGGAAGCACGGACATCCAGTAAAGTTCAGGAGGTAAGGGAGCATGGGCCGCTGGACTAGAATGTTTCAATATCGATATTTCAAAAAAATTGACGTATTATATTCAATATCTTTCAATATTTAGATAATTTCTGATATTCTAATATTTGTTGTAGAAATTCAAAAAAAAATACAAAGATTGTATTGCGTTGCTTTTATAGCTCTAATTATTAAATTTGTTGGATTACGATTAATATTTTATTGAGTTTAATATAAATATTTGTGATATCTTATATTTCCTTGTAGAATTAATGGTATTATAAGTTTAGTTTTATTTTTGTATTAAATTATTGAATATTAAATATAATATACACTATATAAATTAAAAATATTATTTAATATCAAAACATGTCAAAATATAATATTTTTTAAAATTAATATATCAGAATATCGTGTCGTGTCCCGTATCAGTTCAACATAGCAGCCTATCACGATAAAAATATGTCAAACAGAGCATAAGGAAGTATTTCTTGGGACATTGTTTTTGCCAAATCCTTTATGAAAATTTGTCAGCACATAATCTCAAAAAGTTTTGTTGAAAAAAAATCACCTGATTCGGATATCCGAGTCAAAAATTATAGTCTTCTGAAGTTTTACGATCAAACTATTGATTATTTTATGTCACGTGTCCTCATTGGATGAGTCGCATCCAAAAGTAGGCGCGACTGGTTTTGCCCAATTTTGGGCGGAACAGTGACCAAATATGCCACGTTTTTTGCATTATATACCAAATTGTAATGCGAACAATTAAATTTATCAGATTGCCACGCGTTGAAGTTCGCTACGACTAGTAGCGAATTTGGTAGCCAATGATTTCTTGACACGAGGTAGATAGTTTTTCCTGCGAAAGTGTGCCACATGTCATGAAATTATTGGCTACCAAGTTCGTTACCCGTCGTAACAGACTTCAACACGTAACAGTCTGATAAAAAATATTGTTTGCTAGACAAATTGATAAAAAATTGCCAAAAATGTGGCAGTCTCGTCACTGTTCCATTTTGGGCGCAGCTGATTGTTATAAATTCATAAATAGGTTTTCGTATTTAAATAATAATATTTCAATTGTTTATAAAAAAAAAAAAAATTCAATTTTTTCCCGGCTTTTCTTAAAAACACGTTGTTTGAGCCTTACTAAAATTGAAATTTGATGTAATCTTTCACACACTGACACACGCATTAATTTTTTTTTTTATCATATCTGAGTGTTGTATTAAAAAATATAAAAAATAAAAATAAAATATGAATATGAATATTTATAACGTTTCATAGCATGTCCTATCCTCTTCTCCAAAACGTTAGACACTCTTTTAACACACTCACGACTCAACCAGGCTCTAAGGATTACACAGACAACATGGCTTGGTGCCGCATTCACTTCAACCTTAATCTCCCTTTTCCATCCGATGCGGCGTCGTTTCCGTCCACATGTCACAGTTCCTCTCACCTCTCACTCTCACTTCCTACAACTACTCCTACTCCTTCTCTCTTCAAAACAAGAAAGGCAATAAAATATTTCCATTCTTTAATTTATTTATTTTTTTAATTTTTTTTTTAAAATTTTTTTAGGTTTGTTTTGTTCCCTTTCATTAGATTCTCGATTCCAATATATACCCTTTTATTCTCTGTGTCTTTTTCCCTCCCAGATCTCTTTTTCCAGTGCTTCGCGCCGTACATGTGGTGCTGTGAACTCTCACATGACCATGGAGGAGAAGCCTCTCTCTGAGAATCGAATGCTCGTTAGTTTTTCTTCTCTTCTTGTGGTTTTTGGGTTTTTGCTCCTTTTGCTTCCTGCGTTAACAAAATGGCGGGAATGATCCAAAAATGTTATTTTTTGGTTATTTATCTTTGGGTTCTGGGTTTATTGGGTGTTTTTTTTATTCCTCTTTTGGTTTTGGTTTCTGGGTTTTTGATCTGTTTGGCTTCTTAGAAAAGAAAATGGAGGAAAAGGAGTCAAAAGTGTTTTTGTGTGTGTGTGTGTGTGGTGATTTACTGTGGTTGCTCAATTGGTTGCTTAATCTATTATGATTTTTTTTTTTTTAATTTCTCTTATGGGTTTTTTTAAGAGCGTGTTACATTCCTCTTATGGCTTTGGCTTCTGGCTATAATGGATTTTTGATCTGTTTGGTTCCTAAGAAAAAAAATGGAGATAAAGGAGCCAAAATTTCTTTTTTGACGATTTATTCGGTTTTTTCTTCTTATTCCTTTTGTGGTTTTGACTTCTTGTGTTATGTTTATTTTGCTATGTTTGGCTAAAAAAATGAAGTAAAGGAGCTTAAAGTTTGTATTTTGCTGATTTATCTGTGGTGGCTTGTTTGGTTGATTACTGTGTTTGGTTTTTGAAGGTGTATGTGCCTCCGCATCCGTTGATCAAGCACTGGGTTTCGGTTCTGAGGAATGAGCAAACTCCTTGTCCCATCTTCAGTGAGTGGCAAAGTTCCTATTTTTGAGCAATGTTCTATAATTTGAGTTGAACATTGACCTGATTTTGCTCACAGCAATCAACTTAGGAGTTAAGAGCAGTTTCATCACTTTAGTTAACTTAAGAACTACTTTCCTGTTTAATGTTTAACCGGATTGCAGCTTCTTGACAGACACACTACTGCTAGTGTTGTTATTATACTGTCATTTGTTCTTTGAATTTGATAAGGTTGTAATTTTGGGCAAACTGTTGATTCAGTTGGAAAAACTCACTCCATGAATTGTTACTTGTTGTAAATAGTAATTATGTAGTCATTTATTAGTAATTATGTAGTCATTTATTTGTATTTATTTAGTCCGTTACTTGTATATTGGGCCAAGCCCATTAGGTCAAAATTAGGTCAAGAAGTCTCTATAAATAGAGAGCCCTATGTACAGATTCAAATACAAATCAATAATATTTTATAACCCTTTTTCAAGTTGGTACCAGAGCTCTCGATCCTGAGGGCTCTGCTTCCGCGCCTATTGTCTTTTTTTTTACAAAACCCTAATTTCTTTGCCTCTTGCCGCCATCAGCCGCCACCGGAAATTTTTTTCGGAGACCTTTTGGACCAAGGGGACCACTGTTGACCTTTTTTTTTTCGTTCTATCATTCTACGCAACGTTCCTCTGCCACAAACGACCCAAACACCTCCGACCGCCTTCAACCAGTTCTGTCTTCACCGTTTAGAACCCTTTCCGGTGACTTTTCAACCGCAACCACCCACAGACAGGTGCGCGCTCACCGGACGACCACACCGGAAAAATTTCAGCCGGAGAAGCCTTGCCACGCGCTCTCACGCGCCGCCTCTTTGTCCGAGAGTGAAGCCCACGCGCAGCTGCTTTCTCCGGCGCGTGGAGGCACGTCCGACGGTGTTTCTGGACCGGACCACCACCATTCTTCTCGTCTCCTTGTTCTCTTTCTGGATCTGTGTTGTTTTCTCAGATCGGACATCGATTGGTATTTTTTCCGAATTTTTTGGCTTCTTAGAGCCTTTTTCGTTGACTGTTTTTTGTGCACTATGGCCTCTTCTCAAAGGAGTTCCTTTACAAAGTTTTATGATGATGCATCTTCTAAACCTAAGAGAGATGATCGATGGTGTTCTTATTGTAAAAGAACAGGTCATATCAAGGATTTATGCTTTCGCCTCCATGGAAAGCAAACTGTCTTAGAAAAGATGGCAAGGATGCGTGGTCAAGCGCATTTTACTTCCTTTGGAATAACTCCTGCACCTAATGAGACCCAACCTGCATTTCGTCTAGATGAGTTAGAACGGCTCCGAACCATCCTTGATTATCTGAGTAAGCCATCTGATACTAGTGCTTTGGCTTTGACTGGTATGAGCCCCAAAACTCATTCTTTCCTTTCTTCATGTAATGATTTTAAACATTCTTGGGTTGTTGATTCTGGTGCTACTGATCATATGGCTTGTTCTGCTGACTCCTTTGCATCTTATCATCCTACCATTGGAACTCATACTATAGCCATAGCTGATGGCTCACATACATCAGTTGCGGGTTCTGGTGACATAAACTTACAGCAGTCCTTACATCTTAAAGATGCTCTTCATGTTCCTAAACTCTCCACGAATATTCTTTCTATTCATAAAATTACAAAAGATCTAAATTGACTGTAACCTTCTTCCCTACCCATTGTGTTTTTCAGGATCTCGCCACTGGGAAGACGATTGGTAGTGCTAAAGAGCAAGGTGGGCTGTACTATCTGGTGTCACAATCTCCCGCAAATAAAGTAACAGATCACATCTTGATGTCTCATGGTCAATCAACTGCTGATTCTTTGATTTGGCTTCATCATAAGCGCTTGGGACATCCTCCATTTGGTTTACTCAAGTCTTTATTTCCGTCATTGTTTTTATCTAAGCCTGTTGAGTCTTTTCATTGTGATGTTTGTGAGTTTGCTAAGCATCATCGTGTGTCTTTTCCTTCTAGTAGTACGAGTGTTGAACTTTTTGATCTTATTCATTCTGATGTTTGGGGTCCTTCTAAAGTCCCTCATGCTTCTGGAAATAGATTGTTTGTTTCTTTTATTGATGATTGCACTCGTGTAACTTGGGTTTACTTAATGCATGAAAAGTCTGAGGTACCACATCTGTTCTTTCAATTTTATAAAATGGTTGAGACCCAATTTGGTAGAAAAATCAAGAGACTAAGAACAGATAATGATACTGAATATGTTAATCATAGTTTTTCCCAATTTATACGAAATCAAGGTATGATTCATGAACTTACTTGTGTAGACATCCCTCAACAAAATGAGGTTGCTGAAAGAAAAAATCGTCACCTTCTTGAAGTTGCTCGTGCCTTACTGTTTCAAACACATGTACCCAAATGCTATTGGGGAGATGCCATTCTTACTGCAGCGTTCTTGATCAACCGTCTACCCACTCGGGTTCTCGATCATGTAAGTCTTATTCACTCCATGACTTCTTTTTTTCCTTCTGTTCCAACTTTGCAAAGTCTTTCTCCTCGAGTGTTTGGGTGTGTTGTCTTTGTTCATATTCATAAACAGCATCGCAGTAAGTTGGATCCTAGGGCTCTTAAATTTGTCTTCCTTGGATATGCTCCTGATAAGAAGGGCTACAAGTGTTATCACCCTGGTAGTCGGAAATTTTTTGTTTCTATGGATGTTGCATTTCAGGAATCTGAGTCCTTTTTCCAAGGTCCTCATCTTCAGGGGGAGAATAATTCACTAGAAGACTCATCACCTTCCTTCTTTGAATTTGAATCTTCAGTGTCTACTCCTTCACCTGAGTCAGTGTCTCTTCCTCTTGTTCCTGTTCCCAATATGTCTATGTCTGATCCTTCTGTGACTGATCCTCCTATGACTGATACACAACCCACATTGCCTCAGCAGCAACCTCAATCGTCTGAACCACTGGTAAGTCCTGAATCTCATATTTCTGATCATGATACTTCTGATGACTTACCCATTACTACTGATGATTTACCCATTGCTCTTAGAAAAGGAAAAAGATCATGTCCCAAGAAATCTTGTTCCTCTTGTTCCTCTTGTACTCAATACCCTATCTCCCATTTTGTTTCCTCTGCTAATCTGTCTGTGCAGCACAAAAGCTTTGTTTCAGCACTAGACTCTATTGCAATCCCAAAATCAGTACATGAAGCCTTGAAAGATGGGAATTGGGCTCAAGCCATGCAAGAGGAGATGAATGCATTGGAGAAAAATAAAACATGGGAGGTTATTGATAGACCTACTGGAAAGTAAGCAATAGGGTGCAGATGGGTTTATGCCCTGAAATATAATTATGATGGAACTCTTGAGAGATACAAAGCTCGATTAGTTGCCAAATGTTACTCTCAAACCTATGGCATTGATTATGAAGAAACATTTGCTCCAGTTGCAAAGATGAATACGGTGAGAGTTTTGTTATCCCTTGCTGCCCATTACAATTGGGATATAAACCAATTTGATGTGAAGAATGCTTTCCTCAATGGTGAGTTAGAAGAAGAAGTCTACATGAAAATTCCGCCTGGTTTTGATTCTGTGAAGGGAGAAAATAAAGTTTGTAAATTAAAAAAAGGCCTTGTATGGATTGAAGAAGTCACCTCGTGCCTGGTTTGGAAAGTTTACTAAGGTTATGATAACCTTAGGATATAAACAAAGACAAGGAGATCACACTCTTTTTTTCAAGCACTCCCAAAATGGGAAGCTTACTGTGCTCCTTGTATATGTTGATGATATTATTATCACAGGTGATGATTTTGTGGAAAGACAGATTCTGCAAACACGGTTTGCCTCTGAGTTTGAAGTCAAAGACCTTGGGAAACTGAGATATTTTCTAGGGATAGAAGTAGCTCATTCGAGCAAAGGAATCTTTATCAGCCAGAGGAAATATGTTCTTGATCTTCTCAAAGAAGCAGGAAAGCTCGGGTGTAAACCCTCTAATACTCCTATTGAGCAGAATCACAAGATGTGCTATGAAGAGGAGAGTCCTCCAGTTGATAAAGGACAATATCAACGGCTAGTTGAGAAATTGATATATTTGGCCCATACTAGACCAGACTTAGCTTATGCTGTTAGTGTTGTCAGTCAGTTTATGCACGATCCAAAGGAGAAACATATGCAGGCAGTAGAGAGAATTCTTCAGTATCTGAAAGGTACTCCTGGTAAAGGGTTGTTATTCCGACGTGATGGCAATCTATCTTTAGAAGTCTACACAGATGCTGATTATGCTGGATCCGTGACTGACCGTCGTTCTACCACTGGTTATTGCATGTTTCTTTGTGGTAACTTGGTGACATGGAGAAGTAAGAAACAAGATGTGGTCGCCAGATCAAGTGCAGAAGCTGAATTTCGAGCTATGGCTCAAGGCATTTGTGAGTTACTGTGGCTGAAAATTATACTTGATGATCTAAAAATAAAATGTGAGGGACTTATGAAGCTGCTATGTGATAATAAGTATTTGTATAGCTCATAATCCAGTTCAACATGATCGGACTAAACATATTGAGGTCGACCGCCATTTCATCAAAGAGAAACTTGATAGCGGGTTGATTACCACTCCATACATTCCCATTGGGCGTCAATTAGCTGATCTATTGACAAAGGGGCTTCCTTCAGATAGATTTCAAGAACTTGCTAGCAAGCTGGGAATGATAAATATCTATTCCTCAGCTTGAGGGGGAGTGTTGTAAATAGTAATTATGTAGTCATTTATTAGTAATTATGTAGTCATTTATTTGTATTTATTTAGTCCGTTACTTGTATATTGGGCCAAGCCCATTAGGTCAAAATTAGGTCAAGAAGTCTCTATAAATAGAGACCCCTATGTACAGATTCAAATACAAATCAATAATATTTCATAACCCTTTTTCAAGTTGTTACTGTAAGTTGCTAAAAGAATGCATACCTTATTACCACCAACAGCTAATCTTATCTGATGCCTTATTGCAGAATGTGATTGATTAGTTTTTCCAATTTCATTATTCGGCCTTATGGTGAACAATCTTATCATCTAATCTGTTATGACTGTTAATCAGCATACAAGAAAATGATGCCATTAAGTATGGTGGTGGGAACCTCGAACTGGAACTTAATTAGAATATCTTCGTTTTTTTCCCCAAGGAAATTGACTTTTGAGCAGGGTAGACCTGTGAAGACTGTAGCATCAATTTTGCATTTATTGAAAAGTTCAACTTCTTAGTCTCCCAATTTCCCCTCATTCTACCTTTCTCTCTCTCCTTTTTAGACCTTGTATTAGCTAAACTTTGGTTAGAGATGGCTTGCAATTTCTGGATTAATTATATGAAGGTTGAATTGACACTTTGGGTTTATAATGTTGTAGGAAATGCAATGGCTGAGTTGGGAAGGCTACTAATGTATGAAGCTTCCAGAGATTGGCTGGTTAGTTGCTTTGTCTTAGTTCTTGTCTCTGCTATAATTCTTCTGTTTTTCACTTGAATCCAGGTCATACAATATTATTTGAGATTGTTGCAATTTTTTCTAAATTCTAAAAGCATACAAATTTAGGCCATGGTTTTCATTTCTATGAGATTATAAACTTTATGTTGTGTTCCAAACGCCTAGTATAATTGTCCAAATTTTGTTTTTTCAATCCATGTTTGTCAGAACGTTGCTTGAGGTATATGGAAGTGTCAACTTTGTTCTAGACTTCTAGTTGTATTGCTCTCTCTCTCTAAGGTAGGAAAACAAATGGTTATATTTATAGGTTAGAGTTACGATGCGTGTGTAATGGTAAAATGTACATGTATGGGGGAATTGAAGATTCATAGGAGGCATATGTGAGTGCAAGGATGGCTGGGAAGTAGGGGTGAAACTGGGCCGGGCTGGCCCACAGGGGCCTACGGTTCGGCCTACGTCAGGTCAGACCTGACCTAGTATATTTCGTAAAATAGGTCGAACTTGGGCCTTGAAAAAGCTTGTTTACTAAAAAGGCCGTAGGCCCACTTTCACAAGGCCTGGCCTATAAGCCTACAGGTCGGCCTATATTGTACTATTTATTTTAAATAAAATAAAATAGAATAAGTATGCCTTGAAGAAAAAATAAAAGATATAAATTTAATCGATTGTAATTATTTATAACTTAATTATATTCGACTATATTTTTATAGAAATCCAACTTTATTTCTTATATAGGAGGAACTAACATCTCAACATGTTAAATTGTGTATATGAATATATTAAAAGGTTTTTGGGAGATGTTATACTTACTACAAACATCATGATGTGTTGTTGGATTCATGTAATTATTTTAATTTACATAGTATGAATTTGTTTGTTGAATCTGATGAAATATTTGTTATTTAGTTTGAGCATTTTGCTTTTGAAAGTGATTTAAATGCAGATTGTATGAGTTTTGTTGTGATTCGTGATTTTGTTTGGACGTTGAAATTATGATTTTTGCTTTAGCAACAGAATTTGAGTATTTTGTAAAGTTGATTCATGGTTTTGTTTGAAAGTTAAAAATTAACACGCTATGTTATCAAAAAAAAAAAAAAAATTAACACGCTAACGGGCTAGGCCAGGCTATTTGTTTTTTTTATAAACGGGCCAAGTCAGGTTAACAGTTAGACTCGTAATAGGCTTGAGCCAGGCCAAATTGAAATTTTTTGGCGTAGGCTTGGGCTTTTTCGGGGTAAAGCTTGGCTCAGCCCAGCTCACTTTCACCCCTACTGGGAAGCCTTTTGTTTTAGGGGTCAAATAGATTGCTGGCTGGGTTGCTATGAACAATGCCTATGGAATTTGTGGTTGATAGGTCTAACTTCTAAGGGTAGATTGAAGTGAGAACTGATTAGAATTTTAAGAAAGATAGAATTCTCAATGCCGTTCTCCATAGAAAACAGTTCCGAACAGGTTAAATAAAAAATAAAAAAAAAACAGTAGAGGTTGAGAAGACAGCGGAATTTAATTTAGGTTAGGCATGATACATATATTTTTCATAGGATCTCCTCTTATGGATAGACTAATTATCTTTCTACGATTCCTATTTTTTCAATTTTTGTAGTTTTTTTCTTTTATATGATAGATCTATCATATAAAAGAAAAGTCCCGTTACTTACTATTAATTCATATTAATTATTAGCAATAATATTACTATAAACAAAAGTAAGTAATAAGAATAAAGAAAAAGAATGTTATCAAAAATTATATTTTTTATTTGAATTGGTCAGTCAATTGGAGGATTGTCCGTAAGAATGATACCGATTCGAATTCGATACTGGTTCTTGTGCCAGGGTTTGATTGCTCCAAACAATCTAGAGAGATTAATCTTGCTGCAATAGTTTTGTAGCTGTGCACTCTTCCTTAAGAAAGTATTACAACATTTAAATAGACATCCCACAAACTATTCAAAATTTTGAATTAAGATTACTATTTTATTACAAGGCATGAAGGCATTTCATGGAATGGCGCCTTGTCCACGTGTAGAGAATGCCAACTTGGTAAAAAAAATTGTGTCCAAAATTTATTCAAGCAACAAAGATCAGATCTAAATACTTGATAGAGAGCTCCTAGCACTTAATAGGGAAAAAAAATTAAATATTGTTTTCAGCCCTATATTCATAAGTTATCCCAAAATCTTAGGCGATTTGAATCTTAAACTTAAGGCTTTCTAAAAGCTAATGCATGCTAGACCATTTTCTCTCCTTGTTATGATACAAGAATCTGGAACTTGTCACTGATTAGAAGTTGTCATGTGGCTTGAATTAATAGCTGAAAGATTTGATCATTTGATGTTATTTCTTCTTCCCATCTAATAATTTTCTCTGCCGATCATCACACTCTTGCTCATGGATTTACATATTTGTTGCTTTACTTTCATTGTTTTTAGCCCACTGTTTCTGGAGAGATTCAATCACCAATGGGTGTTGCCTCAGTGGAGTTCATTGATCCACGGGAGCCTGTGGCTGTAAGTAGCATATTGCTTTCAATATGTTTGTTTAGAATTAAACATTTTCAGGGGTTCTTATGGCTTGACAGTTACATACTCCCATTCTACATATAATGATTGATATATTTTTTACTTATACTAAATTATTAAGTATTTCTGGGATATAATTTCTTTAGCTAAAACCATGATCATGCTTTTGGTATTCCTTAGATGCTATTGATATCAGTCATTGTTGCTCAAACTTGAGTCCTTTTACAGTCTTGTTGGTGTTATTTGGTAGTGCCTTTTCTGCAGGCTATCACTGAATCTTTTACTAGTTTTTCAGGTAATTCCAATCTTGAGAGCTGGTCTTGCTCTTGCCGAACATGCATCATCAATCTTGCCTGCGACAAAAACATATCATCTAGGTAATGATACTTGTACTAGTAGTTAATGAAACTAGAGGATGCAGATGCTTTATTGTTACTTATTTTGTTGTTTGATGCCTAGAATTCTGAGTCACATCCAACAAACATGATTTAACCTGGTTTTAATTTTTTTTAAATTTTTGTTTCATTGTTCATACATTGTTTGAAGATTGTAATGGGGATGCACTTCTTAAATTGTATAATGATTATATCTTTTTGCTTCTTTGGGAAAGGAATAAGCAGAGATGAGGAAACACTTCAACCAACTATATATTTGAACAAGTAAGAAACGTATATTTGAAATAGAAATATGTTTTTTGCCTCCATTGCTTGTCTTTTCCTTTTCTCCTTTCACTTCTAGTATGGCCGGTCGAAGATGGGGGTGAGATCCATAGAGTATTCCGTTGCTTCGCTTCTCTTGCTTTTGGCTTGTTCTACTGAATGCGAGAGCACCTTTTGTTGCATATCCCTATATATAATTTCCAGGTTGCCCGAGAAATTTGCAGAAGGATCTAAAGTATTTGTGGTTGATCCGATGTTGGCAACAGGTATGCATATTCTGCCTGTATATGAGCTTTTAGTTTCAGGTGCATCATCCATCAAGACTGAGCCATTTTATGTCTTTATAGTAGAATGAGTTTCTTTAGTATTCATGTTGATCAGTAAGTTGTGCAATCGCTCGCGGCTGATAATGCAAGTTCTTTATTACATGTGTTTGTGTATGTATGTAAACTTAAAGCAACATTTCATAGGCAGCACTGTCATAATTGCAGATGTTTGTGTGCTCAATGTTAGGGTTTCGTTTTTCATATGCCATCCTTTATAAACTAGAGTTTATATTGATTGGATTGCTTGTTTGAATTGGTAATGGCTGGAAATGAGTTGAGTTAGTGGTCTCATTATTATTTTGTTTTTAATATGAATTGCAGGTGGTACTATAGTGGCAGCACTAAATCTCTTAAAGGAACATGGAGTTGGCAACAAGCAGATTAAAGTGGTAAGTAATAATCTCATTCAGAAGCTAGATTCTTCAAATTTTAAGCCAACATATTTCTGTTATTGTGCTTAATTGGTTTATTACTCGTTTGGAGGGTTATTTTTAGCTTCTCTTTACTTTTTTCCTTAAAAAGGAGAAGCTTAGCTAAACATACAAAGAGCCTTTTTTTTTTAATAATGAATAAATAAGAAAAGTTAGAAGCCCCTAAGACGAATTTTTTTTAAGATGTACACCAGTTTTTTTAGAAAAAGTTATAAATTACTTTATTAAACAATTTATTTTTAGCTTGAGCTTTAAAATAACTTATAAACTAAATTTTTTATATAAGGGGAAGGATATTGTGACAACCAAGTTGTGTTACTACCAAGTGACTACCAATCAATCTCACCGTTAGATCGATTATGTTGATCCAACGGTTATATTTATTTCCATCTTTGTATGGTCATGATTCCCCATATTTAAAGTGAAAACATTAAATATGAGAAATCATGACCATACAAAGGTGAAAATAAATATAAAGTATTAAATTTGGGAAATCATGACCATACAAAGATGGAAATAAATATAACCGTTGGATCAATATAATCGATCTAACGGTAAGATTGATTGGTAGTCACTTGGTAGTAACACAACTTGGTTGTCACAATATTCTTCCCCTTTATATAATCACCAAACAACTTTTAACTTTATTTTTTAAGCTCTTATTTTCAACTTTAGTTTAAAAGTAACTTAGCTTAAAAAAGACACACCAAACACCCTTTGCCCAGCAATGACTTTTTACCTGCAGTTTGTTCTTGATGCCTTATAATCTACATTATGCATGATAAGATGTTTGGTAAAATTTCCAATAATATATTGTTAATGTAACAACTAGTAGTTGATGCTTCAATTTGGGTGTTATCAAATCTCAAATAGTCGTACATATAATTTGAGTTGTATTCTTTTACCAATTGCAGATATCTGCTGTCTCTGCCCCTCCAGCTCTTCAAAAGCTGAGCGAGCAGTTTCCTGGGTATTCACATAACTTCAAATTTCTTCACTTTTTATTTTTCGAGCAATAGTTTCTAATTATAACATTTTGCAGGCTTCATGTATATACTGGAATAATTGATCCAACAGTTAATGAAAAAGGGTTGGTGCCTCACAACATTATAATTATTTATTTATTTATTTATTGGGAGTTAGCTAGTCTATATAATTGGAGCATTTTTTTAATGTATTTTATTTCTCTTGTCTAGGTTTATAATTCCTGGCCTTGGAGATGCCGGGGACCGCAGCTATGGTACATGATACATTCTTGGCTTCCCTATCTTTTTGGGGCCCTAAAGTTATATCATTATTTCACTTATGGATGCTCAACTTCCAATATCATTTGATCATTGGCCCTCTTTATTTTATTTATTTGTTTATTTATTTATATCATTATTATTATAAAATACATAGGTGTTGAAACTCATAATGTGAAAACCGGTAAGTATATAAATTTTGTATAAAATACATAGCATACGAGTTTTATTTTATGTTTGGTTTATTTAAAAATATAGCATAATACAACATGGGATTAAAATGTGGTATACCTTGATTTCAATAAAAAGAATGGATTAGAAAAGAAAATATTGTAACAGAACGTTTTATCCAATGTTATTAAATGTTATCACTTGGTTGGAATATTGGGTCATTGAGTCATTGGTTCAATCAGTGAGTTGGATAAATTGTTTAAATTTAATTTGTATACAAATATATAATAAATATATAAATAGAAGTAATATGACAATTAAAATAATTTGGCTTATTAATTAGCATGTCACCTCCTAAGTTCAAATACCAAGAGCACGTGAAATATTGTTATAATTTTCAAAAATCGGTTTGACCAAAAGATCAGTACTGGGTTAGTATTGGTCGAATTCAATTTTTGACTGATTTGTCATTTCTTGATGGGGTTGTATGCATAACCAGCTCATTAATTGAACAGGACGAGTTAGGGGTTTGGTTCTTGGCTCAACTGGTGTAACTGGCCGGGTTGGACCGGTTTTAATAACACTGTTTTATCTTGTTTTGTTGGTACCCTAAACATTTCCATAGTATTCAAATGATTTGGTCAACAAAATTGATGCATACAAGGCATGATAGAATGCAAAGCCCGAACCTAACTGGTTGCTTAGACTTGGACTTATTTTCTAGCCCATGGATTCCAATACTTGAAACCCATGGGCCTAAAATCTGGCTATTGATCCATGGCTTTGAAAGGATGAAGACCCATGGGCCTACAATAGTGTAGTTGATTGGGCTTATTTGTGAGCTGCTTTCTGTGGGCTGTTCTTAAAAGGCTGAAGACCATGCATTTGCATTGTGGGAATTAAGACTTGAGAGTTGAGAGTATGTTGCTAGGATGAATGTTAGTTTCGTTCATGCTGGCCCAAATTGGGAACATCACTTAAACCACTATCCACAAAAACAACACTTGAGAATCAATTTCTAATGTTGATAATAGACTTTTGGAAAAAGTTTAATCAATGTCAATTTGTATCTTGACATAGTAAGTAGATGTGTATTTTATCTTGATTTAATTTAAAGATATTTTTATTTGTTTGCTTTATATATAAGTTATTTAAGATGAGCCTCACCTTAAACATTTATATGTTCATTTTTTTTTTATTCCCACAACAATTTACTGGGTGCTCAATAACCATTTTATTCTCTAGTCCAGTTCCAAAGAGAAATGGTTTTTTATTTTTTATTCTTTACTAAAATATGAAGCTAAAAAAAGGTTGTTTCTAAATTATTCAATTTGTTTGAGTTACCGATTCATTTTCAGAAACATACAAATAAATCGATGTTATCAAATTTAGTTTTTAATTATTTCTGCTCATATTAAAAAAAAAATATTTTTGAAAATGTTATGGTGCACATTCTTTTGTGCACGATAATGTCATGAAATATTCTCTTAACCATGAATTTTTTATATGGAAATGTTAAATTCCCATGTTTGTACAAGATTTTTTTTTTTTAATAAATATTTCAAATTCCAAGCCTTTCATTCATACGGCATGGAAATATTTTGCCATGTGAGATGTTTAAAATGCCTTCATTTTGAACTGCTGACCTCTGTCGCTGTTCCATGTTGCTTGGCCTACATTATCGATGGTCTCAAGGATCTGGTCACTACATGTCGTTGTCCTTGATTGTTAGGATTTAGCCTCCATTTGTTGGCCACTAGAGTCATTTTCAAAAATGTTTTAATCAATATGTGATAATCATTATATTCTCAAATCTACAGTTTTAGATAATGTTTGATGATTTAAATATAAAAGGGATTAATATTTTTTTATTTATAAAAGATAATTTTATTTTCTATACATATAGAAGTATGTGAGGCTCATATGAGGCCATATGAGGAGGAGAAGAGAGAAAAAAAATGTGGGTCCAGCATATTTTTATGTGTGTGTAAGTGATAAAATTTATCTCTTATAACATGAAAAACATTAATCCCTAAAATATTTAAAAAATTTAGTTTGTTTTTGGTAGAATCCCTACTCTTAAAAGACAAATTTATTAAGGAATTGATAAATAGTCAATGAATCTCATAATTTTTAACTTCAAATGATACTCTAAAATTTTGATTCCTGGAAGCAAGAATTAGTAAAATGGATCAGGTAATCTGCAATAGTGTGTTTAAATTAATTTATTTAAAGAAAATTTTAACTATTAAAAGAATTTCTTAAAAAATTAATTGTAGTTTATAATTAATTAGTTAAGAATAAGATTTATAGCACTTATGTATGATATTTTAACTGTTTTGTCACGATTGCTGCCACTGTTACTATTTTTACTACCCATAAGTGGAGAGCAGTTTTCAATACATCACATGCACTGAAATTTCAGTGCGTCGCACTATGTCTTATAAATAAGACATAATATAAAATATAAAAGTTATTTGTATTTTTCTATCTCTATGCAATACAAAACTGACATAGCACACTTTTATAGTGAGGCGTTTGGTTGAGGAGAATTTTTTTGAATACTAGGAAAATGTAATTACTAGAAAAATGGTTAGAAAGTGAGTTTGGTAAGAAAATGTAAAAAAAGTTGTTTGATTGATCGAAATATTACCAGAGAAATTTATTTAAATTTGCAAAATCTATGTTTGGGAGAAACTTCGTACCTTTTTTTTCACTTCTCCAGTTATCTCAAAATACCACATCTCAAGTGGTATTCTGTAACAGTGAATTTCATCCAAAAATCAACACAAAAGTCATTTCCCCATCTATCCTATTTGCCTAGTATTTTTTTCAAAAACCTGAACTAAACGTGGTATTTTCCAATATCTAATTACACATCAATCTCAAAATAAATCTTCTACCAAACACTACCATACTATTGCCAATATTCAGTTACACTTTTCTAATATTCTATTTGCCTAGTATTTTTTGTAGTGATGTTTCCTACACCTGCCATACTATTGCCACTAATTATTATTATTATTATTACTTGCAGCTACCAAAACTGCTATCTTTTGTACCTGTTTTAACGGACTGCTAGAGTTGCAACTTCCACTTGCCATACATTGTACTAAAAATGTGGAGGGACATAATTTCTGCGTTTGGTCGAGGAGAAATTTTTTGAATACTAAAAAAATAGAATTGATAGAAAAATGGTAAGAAAGTGAGATAGATAGAAAAATGTTAAAAAAAATAGTTTGGTAGGGAAAAATTTTACTTTATTTAACTAAGGATTTGTTAAATAATTTCTTTATTATTTTTTTATTTTTTATTGCTTTAAAAAAATAAAAAATAAAAAATAGCAGAAAATGACAAAATTCCAGTAAAATGTGATCGACTGACCTCTGCCCACTGCCCACCGACCATCTTTTCTCCCAGACCAAAGTCTTGTGCTTTTCACATACCCCATTTACTCATTTGCCCCACTCTCTCATCTTCGTACTCTCTCGCCACTCTCAGCCAGTGCCAATGTTACTCTGCCATTATCACCCACAACAAGCTTCCATCCAGAAAGCTCTTCATTTTTTAAAATCAATTAGTGCCAAGACACTTGCTGGTTTCAACGTGGCTCCACCATTGAGTTCGTTAGAGCTCAATATAGTTAATTATATATATCCATAATTATAATAGGTACTGAGAAAAAAAATGTAATCCAACTATATTTTGTTGATGGTGATGTTTCAAATGTTATGTAATTTTTTTTTGGGAAAATCAAATCTTGTGTTGAAGGAATCAAATTTTTTTCTCTAGCTCTTCCTTCGAAAATAGTTTTTATGTTTTTTTATTTTTCTTTCATGTGGGACCCCACCTAGTTATTTCTGCCGGAAGTAAAATCCTCGTCGTGGAACGTAAGAATTTCATTTCCCTTTTTTGTTTATCCCAAAATTGTTTCGGTCTTTACAGTGTAAAGGTGTAGAAACAAATTAATCTTATTTAAACCAATAATGGAAGACCTGTTCTAAGTAAGACTCCTCCCTCAATTTATACTAATGATATATGTTATAATTTGTATTCCATTTCATTTATTTTTTTTATGATTTCTGACATTAACGAACATTATATATGTTTCACATTAGGGGGAACTGGGGAAGAAACAAATATATCATTTCAAGCAATGGTGGAAGACCTATTTTAGCTATGACTTCGAACTCCTATCTCAAATTTAACTAAGGATTTGTTTATATTCTTATACATAAACTATTTGTGTCATTAATTTGCTTTGATTCACATTCTTGTATTCCACTACATTTTAAGAATCATCTTTTTTTTTTTTTTAAATGATTTAGTAATGAAATAAGAAACCAGCGGATAGTTATACTTTTGGAATAGAAAATTTCAAATTAAAGATATATTATTTTATTTTAATAATTAAAAAATTAAATCAACACAGAATTAATAAGTAGATGATAATATATTTATTTAAGGGATAGTGTTTCTCATATTGTAAGAAAATTTTATCTCCTACACACATATAATAGTGTATCTGGTCCATTTTTTTTTATCTTTCTTCTCTTCACATGGACCTATATTGGGCCCACACACTTTTATGTATAAGTAGGAGATAAAATTATCTCTTACAAGATAAGAAACATTAATCCCTTTATTTAAATTACTCCCTTGATGAAAAGAATATTATACAATCTTATTTAAATTATAAATTTTATGTCAAATTTTATAAATTAAATAATAAAAATTACACACTTATAGAATTAAAGTTTTTATTAGTTAATTTATAAATAAATTAATTTATAATTTGAAAAAAAATAACGCAGTATTTTTATTTTTAGGAGAAATCCCAGATGAAGCATTAACCCTCAAACTGAAAAAAGAATTGACATAGGTGATTATGTGAACATTACTTTCTTTCTTCATTTTTTTTTTATACATGACACTGATATTTGAATTTATGACCTTATATAAATTACCCAAACACCTCATCACTAAATCAATCCTATTAGTTGCTTTACTTTATCCATATTTTAGTAATAATGAAAGGATGATGATTTTCCTTTTTGTTGGAA